TGCTTTATTATTGACTTTCCATTAGCATCTGGAATTTTTCATTAAATAACATTTGTGGGTTCTTTTTTATCTAAAGGGTTAGGTATAGCAGAGAGGAAGCTGGGATTTCAGAGAATTTTTGTTTTATTGGCTTCAACTCATTTTGGTTTGTATAATCTTGAAAACTCTCACTTTGGTTTGCTTAAAAGTGAGGAAACACATTTTGGGATAGAAAAGGGCTGGCATTTTATAGAAATGTAATAAGTCCTTGGATTTGTATCTGTAAAACACTTTATAACTAATACTGCATCATTAAAAGGCTCACACTTAGGAGAGTAATTAGGTAAAATAATAGCTAAATAAAAATGAGTGATTAGATCAATAAAAATCTATACTTTGGGGAATTACAGTACTTCCAAAGCATATTGAGTCTGGTTGGGGTTAATACAGAGAATGAGATCCAGTGTGCATATAGTTCTGTAGGATGATATGAGCAGGGCCCATGGATCTGGCGAAGCATATCAGTATCTTTGTTTTAGATATTTTGTAGAATGATTGAGCAGTGCATTTGTGATGATTTAAGTACCATGATTAATAAAAGCTATACATTTGACTTAGTGCCTTTGAGGCTCATTCTAGTTAGGTGGTATTTGAAGATGACAATTTGGTAGCCTCTGCCACCTTAAATTGATATTATTGGTTAGCATGCTTGTTTGATTTGGGAATTCTTTTTTTTTTTAAGCTGTAAGATGTAATCTTTTAAAAACAACAACAACAACTCTGCTGGCACTTAGTGATATTAAACAGCAGTGCCTCTGTGTGAGCCTTTAATAAATAGAGTTTTAATTGTTTGTATATGCACTGCTGTTAAAGAGTTTTTAAGATACACAAATTTGAGATAACAAAAACTGACACGAGGTAGTGAGGCTGTATTTATGAAAGCGGTTGCAACTTCACACCACCTGCCCTACCAGAGCTCGAGGGACGAGTTTGTAGAAACCCGTTCAATAACACTGCACAAGCCTTATAAACTATTCTAGAAAAAGCTTCTTAAAGAAATGTTTCCCTTCAGAACCCTAAAAACAAAGTTGGAGAAAACCTAGGCTAATATGTTTCTTGTCTGCTTTACCTTTTTTCCTGAAGGAATTTTGAGAGACTTTGCAAAATTGAACTCACATATGAAAGGGTAGAGGTCAGATGTTACTGCTGCCTCGGGGATGTTCAGGACGCTTTGCTATAAAACGTACCAGAGTCCAGGTTGAGTAGTGGTTCAGAGCACAGACTGCCTGCATTTGAGTCCCAGATGTGCTCTTTACTCCTTGTATGATGTGGGCAAATGATTAAACCTTCCACTGCCTCTGTGCCTTCATCTGTAAAATGGGAATAATAACATTTCTTAGGTGGTTGTTTGGAGGATTAAATGACTAAATATTTGTCTATGCCTTGCCTAGAACAAAGCACTATGTAGGTGTTTGCTGTTTTTTATTACCAAGATTATTGTGCCAAATAAATTGTCAATTGACTGAGGCTTTAATATCTCTTCTCTGTGTAATAATCTATCATTATTTCAGATCTAATTTGTGTTGTGTGATAATTCGTAACATTGCGTTTCATACTTTGTCTTTTTTTTTTTTTAATGTTTACTAAACAAATTCAGCTTTTAAAAGACATTTAAGGGAAAGACATAACTTACATCAGGGGAAATGTTTAAAGTACTTTAACAACCTCTCACTGTATGTAGTGGATTAATTTTACATAATTCCACTGGAATTAATTGCCTGATTTCTAATAGACTTTTATAAAAATATGAGAGAAATATTTAACCTTTGCTCAGAAAAGGTAATTCAAAAAGATTTAGTGTTCACCAATATTTATTGATTTAAAATTGTGCATTGACATTTAGAAACACATCCTTCTCAAGCTCTCTCTCTTAATATTTAGTTGACATTTTGATTAATTTGTATGGTTTACCAATATTAAATTGAAGTTTTTATTAGGTAGAAAGGGGACTAGTATTGTGAAAAAAGTTCTAAATGTAAGTTCTTTAATTAACCAGTTATTAGAATTCGGTGTTGAAGTTCACACGTAAAAAATATCTAACTGAATGTTGACACGTTTAATGAGCAAAATAGGTTGTTTATATAAATTTAGTTTTAGAAACATCTTAAATTGATTAACTTGTGTTTTAAATAGGAAAGTACCAAATGATACATCTTAAAGAATATTGTTTAAAAATGTTTAAGTCTAAAATATATTTTAAAGTTACATGGAAATTAAGGATCATTTTTTCATATTTTCTCTAGGGTCTAATTTTTCTTTAATAACAAGATAGTTTTACAAAGCTTTTTTATGGTCATATAAAAATCTGATTTTTAGTATTTGAAAAACAAAAATAAAAAAGAAATGAAAAGTAAAGTGTTTTAGTAGTTATTTCCTCTTAATATAAACTACAAATTGGAGTATTTTTCAGTGAAAAAATATATTCATTAAATATTTGTTAAGCACATTTTATATGCTGGGAACTATGGCAGTTGCCGGCTTTACATTGATAAACAAAAGAGAAATTGTTTCTGTATTCAAGTATCTAAATATCTATCATGGGAGATGGATGAAGCAAAACAAATATATAATTACACCATCTGTGAAGTCTGATTGAAGAGATGGAGCAAGAGACCAAGGGACCTGAAGGATCCGCCTGGAAGTTAGGGATGGCTCCTTGGAGGGAATGACTTTCAAGCTGCGATCTCAAGGATTAAGAGCCGGCCACATAATCATGTCACTCATTCATTCCACAAATTCTTTTTTTTTTTAGTGCCCGTTTGCCTCTATGTTAGCTGCTGATCGTACAGTGGAATGAAATGTTCGTGGACTTTGTCCTTGTGAGGCGTAAGGGCTCGTGTGGAAGACGGACGTTAGGCACGTAGACACACACACACTATAGAACGGGAGACTGTTGGGGCTGAGAGGAGGAGGAGAGGTGCTTTGAGGGAATAACTGTGATCTGCTTTGAGTTGGCTAATCAGGAGGAACGTCTGTGTAGGTGGTATGGGTGAAATTCTGAAAGCTAAGACGGAGTAGTTAGCCAAAGGAATGGAGAGATAATGGACAGTCTAAGGCCTTCATCTCCCATCGATGTTGATTGTTTTTATAATTAAATGGAAGATTATAAGTAACTGAGCTTTATTTTACCACCATGCACAATGTAAGGCAGGTGGCGCTCAAAACAAATCTTGGTTTACAGAATTACAGTTGAGATCATGTGGGAAGGTGTGTGGTTACCTGCCTTTAAGTGTGACAGATCAACATGAGATGAGCGCACAGTGCTTTTGTTCAATGTGCAATTATTGTATGTTTGCTTAATATTTCCTTTTAAAGAAATATTTTAAATGTTTTTTTAATGGTTATTTTTTAGAGAGAGAGGAAAGGAGAGGGAGAGAGAGATAGAAACACTGATGAGAGAGAAATATCGATTTACTCCCTCCTGCATGCGCTGCACCTGGGCATGTGCCCTGACCGGGCATCAAACCAGTGGTCTCTTGGTGCATGGGATAGTGCTCGACCAGCGGGGCCACACCGGCAGGGCTACTTAATATTTCTTTACTTTTTAATTTTAATGCTGGGAATTTGAAGAACCCTTGGGTTGGTGAAAAGTGAAAACCTATGGATGTTGCAGTATTAAGTCAACCTATTGCAGACCAAGGGAAGTTAAAAAAGCAGAAGAGGGGATAAGCGGGGAAGAGGTCTGGGTAGTTACTTGTGGTTCTATGGTTTTAAGATGGAAAGTGGGCTGGGGAGCTGTGGTTGTATGGTTTTAAGATCGTTACATGTTCTCATTACTTCATAATTCAGTGCTTGTGTGTGAAAATGTCTGCACTGACGAGCTTTGAAACTTTTCTCCATTTCATCTGATTTTCTCTAGTTTTATCTTGAGCAGAATAAATTGGCTAAGGATGAGTGTGGGAGGCTTGCTGCGTAATAGATGTGTAGTGTTCAGGAAAAAGCCCAGAAGAAAAATTCTCTACACATTCTGACTTTTTTTTCTATCTTTAAATCTCCTGAAACCCACAGAAGGTTAAGCCAATTCCTTATCTTAAACATGTCAGAACAGTGCAAAAGGAAGAGACAGACAGTTGTTTTTCCCTGTTCGTTTAGAGGTGACTTTTTACAGAAAGTTAGTTTTCATATCTGTGGTTAAGGCTAAAAGTATCTGGATTGTGTCAGTCCACACGGAGAGTCACGTAGAGAGTAGGATATTCAGGCCTTTAGGATTGTCTGCCTTCAGGAAAGGAGACTAAAACAGAACAAACCAAAAGAGCCCACGTAGAAATGGTTTTTCACTTTTCCCTTAGAGCCAGAAAAAGTTTTTTTCTCTTTTAAGTCTAACTAGGAAACTTGCAATTAACATTAGTTTGCTTTGTTTCTCAGGTTAGTAATCATTTTAAAGGGCATTTGCCTTTCATAGGATTCTTTTTCAAAACATGTTAATGTTTCAATGAATGTGGGATGATTGTAAATGATTCTTTATTGAGACAGGGCTTTTTCAGCTTGTCTGATCATAAGTAAATAATTTATCTATGTAAACCCAATTGCCAAAGCTTTGTTATTTTAGCAAAATATTATTCATTCTCCAAAGCAAAACTTAAGGTGAAATAAATGTTTTAAGCTTAATGAGGGATGAAAGTCCTGTTATCTTCATTAAAGGATTATCTTCATTAAGGGAAATGGGTACCTTGATAGCGTGTTGGGCAGCACTTTGTTTTGAGTCAGCCTTACAGATGAGGGTGACAACAACGGTAACAGTGTCATTGTTTTACGCCTGTGTCCACTGATTAGAAAGTTCCATCATACGTATTTTTCCCCCTGTGTGTACCATTGCTATATTGTACATTGTCAGAGCCTATTGTTTTCTGCAGTGTTTGACAGCAAGTGGGAATGGACTCAGTGCAGTTACATTACAAATGTATTTAAAATTCAAGTTCATGGTACTTAAATGTAAAATAACAATTTTATATGTTTTACAGAAAACGCATGTTTCAGAAGAGATGGGTGAAATTTGATGGCTATAGTATTTCTTATTACAATAATGAGAAGGTAAGTACGTTTGACAGTTTTCAAGGATTGCTTTACGCATACTAAGTGTACTTCAGCGAACTAAGCAAGTGATGTTGGTTTTTTAAGAATGTGAGTTGGATTTTCACATGAAAAGAATTATGATAAGGTAAAACACTCTTCGTAATTTAACTTTTTCTTGAAACATAAAACTGAAATAAAAAACACACACCTTAGATATCTAACAGTTATTTATGGAGTATCTTCTACAGCAGGGGTGGGGAACCTTTTTCGGCCAAGGGCCATTTGGATATTTATAACATCATTCTCGGCCCATACAAAATTATCAACTTAGAATTAGCTATGGAAAAAAAAAAGCTCCTAGATTTATTGAATTTTGAGTCCCATCTGCAGTTGCCTTGGCAGGACCAGACCGAATGATTTTGGCCCAAGGGCCAGACGTTCCCCACCCCTGTTCTTGAGCCCACAGGAGTTGCTGTGAGTGATGCACAGAAGAGTAAGGAAATGCTTTATCCTCAAGAGCACGGAGGGGTGTTTGCAAAATGGCACCACGGTAGGGGACACAGAGCAAGGAGAGGCTACTCTGTAGCCTGGAAGGGTCTGTGGAAGGACCAAGGAAGGCTTCTTGCATGAGATTTCATTTGCCTTGAGTCTTGAAGAAAGGAGTGTTTGTACGTGGAGAAACGAGAGACGTGTTCGTACATAGAGAAACCGAGGGAACAGGGCCTGACAACAGGGAGAACGATGAGAGGCCCAGCGGGAGTCACTCTGCTGTGGATGGAGCTTTCTCCCATGGAGAGCACCGTGTGCCAAGGAGACCTGTGGGAGACGAAGCCGAGAGGGATGTTTGGAGCTAGAAGTCATTGAAAGTCCTGACAGTTATGTGAGAGTGGTTACGATTCAGTCTTTAGGCACTGAGTATCCGTGACATGACACTGTTTTGGTCATGTCCTTCTTGTAATGAGAATGTCTTTATCCTTAGGAGGCTGAAATATTTAGGAGGGAAGTGTCATTATATCTACAAATGCTTTTCACAAGTTATCTGTCTCTCTCTACTTATATTTATATTTAATGTATGTGTATATATTAAATATATGTGTATATATATTTGCACAAATGCATAGTTAGATAAAACAAAGTTAGAAGATGTTAATAATCGTCAAATCTAAGTGGAGGGTATATAGTGTTCATAGTACTAATCTTTCAACTTCTCTGTGTTTGAAAATTAATTCCCTTAATAAAAAGTTGGAACTAATAAATATACCATATTTTAGTTAATTAAAATCAGATATTTTTGTAGTCTTAACTGTATACATTCTTTTAACATACAACACTTACCTACAATCTCTTATTTATAGTTTATAACCTAACATTATTTTTCCATTATTTAGAGATTTCCACTGTCTAATATTGATGATATTTGTGGCTGGAGTAGAAGTTTTCATTCGCTTTCATATATTGAGTCTTCATTGCTGGCAGGGAAGAAGAGTATATGGTTTTACACAGAAGATAACACAGGGCACACTACAACACTAAGAATAATAGAAAGTTTAGAGAAGTGCCAGTTGTTTCGTTTCACTTTGCAGTGATCCAGCTAATGCATCAAGTAGGTTTAAATACGCCTCTTGGAAATTTGCAAAATAGTGGGATGAATATTTTTTAATAGCTGATTTTCTACCTTAACTACGGTTTTTAGTTTGTTTGTGTATTTGAATGTTGAGGCAGCTCCTTTGCCTGGGGTAGTGCAGTGTGGTCTCTGTATCTGATGGAATCTGACCCTGGTTTTCCTCAGCACCTGTGCCCGTCTCTGGGCTGATTAGAATGTGGAGGAAAATATTCAGGAAAGAGGCTTCCCTGCCATGAAGCTCTGTAGGTGGTGGAGTCATTATCATCCTTTGGGGGGGAAAATGTCTAGTATCTGTGTCCAACTGGACTCACTTTGTCCTTTGAAAGCAGGGCAGTGAGGGGATGAGTACCTGTCACATTTCTAAATATTGATGCAGTAAAATTGATGAAACCTCTATTTGAAATTGAGACCAAAAGTTCACGTTAAAGTGAATTATTACAAATCCTTTCCCTTAACATCACATTTTAAAAAAATGCAAATTGTTGTTTCTGTGGCATTTTTCCCCCCTTTACTATTCAGATGATTGGTTTTATCTTGGCAAAAACAAAACACGGGGGTGGGTGTTTTCTAAAAGGAGACACAGTTTTTGTTAAGACTTTTCTGCCAAAAGAGGTGGGCTGGGAGGAGGGTATTTCAAGGCCAGCGAGCAGAAGGCAGAAGACATAGGTGCAGTCTTAGCTCCCGTGTCAGTAGGTGTGCGGTTTTAGTGGTCATGTGCACCGAGTAGGTGGGTGTTTCAGTATTTAAATGTGCACTTGAGTGTGTCGCTGGGCTTTCAGGAGGCAGTGTGCAGAGTTGCCTGTTTCCCTGGTTTCCTTTCACTTTGCTCCGCGCTGCTCAATCATGTCTCTGCGAGGACTCTTCATTGTATTACTGAAAATGGCAACATCCCAATAGCCTTGATATCTTTTCACCTGCCAAGAAATTGAGCTCACCCCCATTCTCACTCAGCTGTGGGCAGAATTGCCCTGTGGTCTTTTTATTGTCTGAAAGTGGTAGATAAATGACAAACTTGACCTAGATATCTGTGTGTTACACGCTCAGGGGATGCTTTAAAATTTCTTTCCTTAAGGAAAATTTTACTCTCTGAAAAGCATAGTCATTTTGAGCCTGTTGTCACTGAGTCGTCTTTTTTCTCTCCTATATTGTCTTTATCATGTGTTGTTTGAAGAGAAATGTAAGATCAACTCTGGAGTGTTAAAAGTGATGAGATATAATATCTTGTAATCGCCTCATGATAGATTATAAATGAACCGTTAGAGAAACTACAACTTCCTGAGGTTAAAGTGGCACAGTATTTAGCTTGTTAAATACATTTCGAACGCTTCTGTTTTTCTATTACTATTCTATAAATACTCATTAAATATAATTTCATTATTACAGGCATGTAGGTGGGTTGTTATTTTTTTAAGGACTTGTTTGTTTAATCTCTTCAAAGAGATCTAGTGGAAGGAAAAAAGTTATCTCTTTTAAAATTCCTGTTTCTTTTTCTAAAATGGTATTTGACTTTTCTCCACTGAAAAATGGGCTAATGGTAACGTTTTATTTAACAAACAGTTAACTATCTCACTAGAAATATAATTTTATAAGCTCCTGTAAGTCTTAGGCAAACTAAAATTTGAGAACAGGTCACACGTAAGGGATAAAGTATAACTGTTTTGGACATTCTAGATTTTTGACTGTTTAGTGTCAACCACTTACAGGCAGAGAAGCCCCCACCCTGTCGCCAAGGGTGCCCTGCCCTTTCCCAGGTCTTAGTTTGCCTCACCATGGGGGGAGACATCTCCCTCCCACCCCGTCATTCCCGGAGCACTCAGTGACGTAGTATTGCTGTTGTAACCCACATTTATTGGGTTTCCGTTGTAAAGCCAATCATTTAATTTATTTCTTGGCAGTGGCCTTTTCAGCTGTGTCTGGGTGTGCACTGTGGGAAGCTGCAGCAAGTCTTTTCCTCTGTTTTCATCTCCACATTTTTGCTTTTCTCTTAACCTTCCTGTTCTTTGCCATCCATAAAAATCCTGTACAAACTTCAAGGCCCATCTTCTTACCCTCCTCTGTGAATCTTTTATTTTCTCCAGCTATACGTATGAACAACAAGATGCAGGAAGGGTGACGGGAAAACAAGTTAAAAGTAGGGAGGCAGACCAGGAGCGTGTGCAGCAGGAACTCAGGGGATCCTTTACCAGGTGTGGGCTACATAGAATTCAGTCACTCAGAAAATATTTATACAATGCTGATTACATGAAAGGCGGCGAGGAAGGTAGACATGGGCCCACAGGCTATTTAGGGAGACAGTATTAACCAAATGATCACACAGTAAATATAAGAACCGTCGTTTAAATTATATTTAGTAATTGTTACAAAGGAAAAGCCCAAGTTGCTGTTAGCTGCCTGAGAAGAGGCTGGTCAGAAAGGCTTTCTTCAGGAGCATGCAATGCACTGAGATGTGAAAGTTGTATGAGGTTAGGTATGAAAAGCATTCCTTGCGAAACAAGTCAGACAGAAAAAGCCAAGAACCATATGATATCACTTACATGGGATAAAATTGAAAGCAACCAATGAACAAACAAGACAGACAAAAACTCATAGACACAGACTGCAATATGGTGGTTACCAGAGGGAAAGGGGAGGGGTGGGGATATTAAAGAGTAAAGGAGCCCGGCCTGCGTGGCTCGTGGTCGAACACAGACCTATGAGCCAGGAGGTCACAGTTCGATTCCTGGTCAGGGCACATGCCCGGGTTGTGGGCCCGATCTCCAGTGGGGGACGTGCAGGAGGCAGCCGATCAGTGACTCTCATCATTGGTGCTTCTCTCTCTCTCCCTCTCCCTTCCTCTCTCTGAAATCAATGAAAACATTAAAAAAAAAAAAAGGTAAAGGTAGTCAAATATATGGCAACAGAAGAAAACTTGACTTTGGCTGGTGGGCTCGCAATGCGATACACAGATGACATACAGAATTGTACACTTGAAACCTATATAATTTTATTAACCAGTGTCACCCCAATAAATTTAAGTTAAGAAATATTTTTTTAAAATTCCTTGCAGAATAAACAGAGTATGCAAAGGCACCAGATTGGGCAGAAACACAGTATATTTAGGGGATCTCAAGAAGCTTAATGTGGCTGGAAAGAGGGAGTGGCAGGGAACAAGTTGATACTGTAGCTGAGGGGAGAGTCCCAAGTTATGTGGGTGCACAAGGTCAGCACAGGTCAAAGACTATTCTGTTTAAGACTGATGACTAGAAGAGTAACATTTTAATGGACAGATACAGAGGGGGGTACGCTTTCAGGAGATAATTGAGTTTTAAAACGTTTGAGGTGCTGATGGTACAGTAATGTGCACTGTTGATGACTCAAAATATGGGGGTGGAGTTGACTGAAATGGATAAAGAAGGAAGGGGCAGATTTTAGAATTCTCTGCTTCACCTTGGTAGCTGAAATAGCAGGAGGGGATTTTTCTTTCTTATGGAGGGAAGAGAAATAGATGGGAAATAATGAGAAGAATAAGTGACTTAGTAATTACTTACTTCTTGACATCCCCTCTCCTTTTTCCCGGAGGTTGCCCACTTATCTTCCTAAATCACGGTGCAGATATCACATTCTTTTGGTAGGATTTCGAAGGATACCTGAAGTGATGGGAGGTTGGCGCAGGGGCTGTGGAGGGGAGGAAACTGTCAGAGGCCTAAGGAAATGCCGTGACAGTGTAATGTGATACATCTCAGCAGAGGATGCCCCTCCCGTGGCATGCCGGGTTGTGGACAGTGACCGCCCCTTACCTGGCTGTCCCTTAGCAGTCTGCTGGGTGCGGCAGTTTACCCTTGGGGGGAATAGGAGCTTGGCTCTTGCTCTCTGCCTGGGATGGCTTAGTACATTCTTCCGGCATTTTCTTTCCAGCACAGGGTCCATTCAGGATGCATTATACCCTTAGTAAGTAGCTGACTTTGGGAGGTGGTCATTATGCCAGATGGTCTAGGAGGGCCTAGGTAAATGACGACAGAGGTACCAAGAGTCTTAAGAGTGACCCCTCTTGAGCAAAATTACGCTCTGTATATATCAGTTGCAAATAGCCACATCCATATTTTTTCATTCTTTTAAAATCTATTAAGTGTCACTGAGGAATCAAAAGTAAAGTGATGCAGTTGTAAGATTAAAATCATTATTGTCAGAGCATTGAGTAAGACGGGTAATCGATATAATCCAACAGTCTGGTTTCTTAGATATATTCTTGTTGCTCATAATATGTAAGAGCAGTCGTTTCAAACGGTTCCCGTGACAGTACCTGTTATGGCCAGCAGATGCCTGCAAACACCATAAAATCATTTCAACCAGATTGTTTTAAAGAACATACTGCTGTTTTTTGGAGATATATATATATATATATCTATCTATATATATATAGATAGATATATATATACACACACACATTGTATAATATGCTTGTATTTGACTCTGCCTTTTAATTCCAGGTGCATAGACTATTGAAGACATTTTACTTGAAAGGAACATTTAATATTTCTTTTGGGGGAATATTAAGTGGGTATGAGGATATATACTATTTGTATGTCATTTAAAAATTTAGATCGAAGTTGTGAAAGAGAAGCACTTGTGAATGTTGTGCCATTTTTTTTTTCTTCCTTTCTTTTTTTCAATAATATCAAGAGAATTTCACTCTGCCTTCTTTTGTGTGTCTTTTTCTCTAACCAATGCAGGAGAAGTACTCAAAAGGAATAATTCCCCTTTCTGCTATGTCGACAGTACGGGTTCAAGGAGACAACAAATTTGAAGTTGTTACAACACAAAGAACTTTTGTTTTTAGAGTAGAGAAAGAAGGTAAGATTATTTCTTTGTCCCTGTAACAAACTCGCAGATATTCAAGAAATCTTTAAATACGTTACTTTGAAATAATTTACATTTTATAGTATGACAAGTATTTGTTCACTGTTCTTGCGTGCAGCCAATACTTAGAATATACTAAGTGTCAAGGACTCCTCTGAATTCTGGGCATACAGCAGTGATAGAAGTAGACAGCCATCTCTGCTCTTATGGATAATGATGTAAATAGTTATTTAATGTGCAAAATCAGCTTTTCTGACCATTAAAAGGTTGGTTTTACGGCAGGTGTTAACTGAACACACAGGCACAGCAATCATCGTAACGTAGATTTTGCAGCATCTTTTATTTTTCTTGATTCTTACCACCTGCATCACCTGCCACAGGTCATTTGATGGTGAAAATTGATCTAAAGATGGTTTGGGGATGGAGTCTAAATCTTTAGACCTCCTCTGACTGTTGGGGGGAGAGGGATCAGGATCCAGGGGGACAAAAAGTTTCCTGTTTTGTACTTTGGTTGACTGCCAATAATATCATTTCTATAAACGTCACTACTTTTAAATAATATAGGTAAGGTCATCTTTGTTAATTAAATAGGATTTTAACTTATTTTAAAGCCCACTTTTAGTATAGATTATAACTCAGCTTGATTTTTGAAAGTACTTTTACTTCTTGGTGCTTAATTATTTGAATAATGGTGATATGGAAACCTCACTGAATCCTTGATGTGTGCCAGACACTCTAAATGCTTTATTTTCACAGTAGTTTTAGGATCTATGTAGTTACTACAATTATTACTCTGTTTTACATGTACGAGCCTCCACCTTTTATAAACTACAGCAATATTAACTGTTACGGGGCAATGTTTATCCTTTTAAACCACCCGATTCCTAGAACATATGCATGGGCTTGGCACATAGAAACATTCAGTAAGTCTTATTTATTCCTAGAAAGCTTCCTATGTTGCTTGGGATAATCGGTAAATGAGTAAGTCCCAGCCGCCGTTTATGCTGGAGCAGCTTTTGTCAAACTGTGACTCACTAACCACTTGTGAGATCAACCTAGTGGTTTCTGATGGTATTAAAAAAAAACAAAAACCCCCCAAACAAAATAAAAACCCAAACAGATATAAAAAAGAATAATAAGTACCAAAGTATATCGCTTCTGGTAAGTGTACTTAATTTATTGTGAAACATACCAATGCATATGTTGCACATGTATAATTTAAAAAGTGTTTCTTACTTGCTTTTAAAAAATGTTGAGAGCTTTAGCCTAGAGCAGGGGTTGACACCACATGACCTGTAGCCTAAATCCAGCTCACTGGTGGTTTTTGTAAGTAAAATCTTGCTAGATCACAACCACTCTCATTCATCGATGTCTCGCCTTACGGCTGTTTTGTGCCTCAATGTCAGTATAGAGTAGTTGCAGCACAGACTGTGTGGGCAGGAAAAGCCTCAGATATTTACGCTCTGGCCCTTTACAGAAAGAAAGTTCACCAACCCTTGTCCTGTCCTAGAGCCTTTCATATAGACCTGCTGCTTATGCGAGAAGCCACTTTTTGTGATTCATTGCCTAAAATTCAGAAAGTTATCCTCAGTTGTGATACTTGATATGGAACTTGTACTTGAAATCACAGTTTGCTCTTAGGCTGTGCCTTAAAACACATGGCATTGCTACTCTTGACTGGCTCTCATGGTGATCTTTCCTTCTGCTGTGGTTTCCACGGCCGCAGAGGTGACTGCCCGTTTCTTTGAGGTGCTTATCACCTTCCCCTTGGCCTGTCAGAGTGAATTTCACATATGCCACATGGCCTACATTTTAAGCTAGACATACTAAATAAAGTTTCCAAATTGTGTGAAAATCTGTTTAGCCACATTTACTTGTGCAGTTAAAAGTTAAACAGACACATTTTCTGTAAGTAGAATGCATCAACCCACACATGTTTAAAAGTTACATCTTTACGATTGACCATTAAGTCCTTCTGTGACACACAGTTCCTTCGCCATGTCAACTTAGTATAAACATTTCATTAACTTGGTATAAGTTTTTTGTTAAGTAATTCTTAGGTCTTTAATTTTTGAAAGCATGAAAATACTGCTTGAGTGGAAATGGAGACTATTCACATGGAATTACTGAATAAGTTATTTTCATTGAAAGTCATTTTTACATAGTAACAAGTCACATTTTAAAAGATAAGTGCATGTAGAGATGTGTGTATGAGTGTGTGTGTGTACACATATACGTAAATGGTATATGTGTGTCCATATATTTAGTATAGAACTTTCCACAAGATAGTAAATATGTTTCATTAAATGTTTTTTCCCCTTCCGTGTATACAGGTGATCATTTTTTATCTTGTGGAAACTGAGAAATCAATCACATGAAACATGTTTTGTGAAAGATTTGACCTAGTGAACTTTAAGCCGAATTAAACTTTGTTTCAGTCTGTTCATAATACAAGACCAACATTTAGAACAGAAAGAGGAAATGGCTTCCTATCCTAACAGAGATGAATTCTTCATTTTTGGAAAAAGGTTCTGAATGACCTACATACAGCAGCTCCCCTCCGTCTCCCCTGAATCCAGTGTCACTGTTTCTAAACTGCTGCATAGCCCACTGCTAAGACAGGATTCCAATCTGACATCTTCCCCACACACATTTTCAAAGGCTTCAGTTCCCCCAGGTTGCCTAGTACAATATTGCTATTCTCGTAGTTGAAAGTGAATTATATTGGAATAATAATGTTTTAAAAACACTCTTCCTCCTATAGGAAATGTAGTCTGATTCTTTTTGTCCTCAGGCAGAGCCACCGGAACTGGTCATAACAGCTGATGATCTCTTCATTTAGTCTGTATTCCCTTGGCATCTGTGGTCACACATGCAGATGTGTTCCTTCAGAAAGCAGGTGGTGTTTGAGTGGACAGTGCTCATAGTTAAAAGAGGGCGTCTGAACTCTGAGGGGTCATTGCATTCCCAGGCCACTTGCAGCACAGGCTCTCAGCTGCAGGTGCTGTGGTCCTGTCCACCTTCGCCAGTGCTGGACGCCTGGGAGGCGGGAGGCCTGTCATTCTCCCAGCCACATTTCCAGCCTGCGCCGCACAGCCCTGTGATACTGTAAAGGGCCCCCGCCTTTTCTTTTCAAAGAACTCTTGGGATGAAAACCATCAATTCCCCTTAGTTGTTTTGGGCAAGCAGACTTCCCCTCTTTTGAAATCGGCAGTGTTTTAGAAGCAAGGCATGGAACATTTGCTCCCTCGGGGGAGAGCCAGGGGGATTAAAAGTTCTCTGTTGTCTCCTTTGATAGTAAACTTCTCATCATATAAGAGGCCACAAATTAGAGTCATTTCCCTAGCTTTTTCTCTCTCATATCACAGCAAACCATATCAGTTTGACTTTGAAAATATGTCTGTATTCAGGCCAATTCTCAGTACCTCCTCCGCTGCCACCACCGGTGTCTGGATTATTGTAATAACCTCCCTCGGTCCACTGCAGTCATATTTTCACTACAGCTGTCCGAGCGGTCATTCAACAAGAAAGTCAGGCCGTGTCAGCCCACGCCAGGAGGCCCGCTGTCTTCCCATCTCAGGATGCCCAGGAGCCCCTGTGGGCTGGGCCTGGTCTCCCTGCCCTTGTCTCCTCTGTGCTCTGTATCTCACTGCGTTTCAGCTGCAGGGGCCTCTTGTTTTGTGAATGTGCCAAACCTGCTGTCGCCTTAGGGTCTTAACACTTGCTGCCTTTTTTTTTTAAGTCCCAGAATGCCCTCCCTCCAACCCTGCTCCTCACTTGGTCTGTGGCCCCCCCTTCCTTTCGGCTTCTGCTCCGCCGTGGCCTCCTTAGGCTCTTTCTGTTCGCCTGCGTCAAAGCGCTCCCTGTGTCCCGCCCCTGGCCCTAAATTCTGTTCCCCTGCCCTTGTCCCTGTGCTGTGGACGTTTCTGTGCTTATTGCCGTGAGCCTTTCACAGAACGCAAACTCCAGGAGAGCGAGGCCACGGCTTGTCTTGTTCAGCCTCCCACGCCTGGTGTTCAGAACAGGTCTTGGACTATGGTGGGCACTCAGTAAATACTGTATGAGTGAATGGACATGGATTGGTGTGCAACACTTCCTGCTCGAAAATCAGTCATGGGTTATATTGAGGGATTTTTTTATATTATCATGTCAGATTATATCAAAAGTAAGGGTCTATCTAAACTTGGATAGATTTTGTTATTAATCTGTCAATCAGCCCTTGCATAGTAATGCCTAGTGCGGTCAATCCTGTGTTACTAATATTTGTGCCTACTGCTAAATCCAGTAGTCTAGAGAATATTTATTACGTCTCTCCTGTTGAATTTTTTTTTTTTTAATTTCCTCTTTTGAGTCTTATACCATAGTTGGCATGCCTGAACACCTCAAGAACTAACTTGAGGGGTTTGAGGGAATTAATTGCCGTTATCTTTTATTTATGTTCTAGCATAATTACAAGAAAGTGGCTTTTTTGTTTCCCCTCCCTCTCCCGCCTTTGTTTTCTTTCTCCAATCTGAAATGTTATACTTTGAGCACAGCCATATCTAGGTTAGAGAGTGTTTTCAGAAGGAGTGGTGCATAGACACCCAATAAATATTTGTTATTAGAAAGAATAAAAGTACTTTGGTATGAAGAGCCGGCAAAAGCTAGCATAACATCTTGCTTTGCCCAAGACACTTTGCCCAAGGGAAAAATAATTATTTGTTTTGGAATATTGTGACTTATTAAAGCATATTTCCCACATCTATGAATGCACACATTGTACAGCCAAATATCAAATGCAACTTGTAATCTGTTTTATTGTGTTTAAATGATAGGTATCATTGTTTATCTCCATTGGCATAGGATACTAAGAATAAAAGGAACGTTACTATTAATTCCTAATCTTCTTCATGACTGTTTGCTTCCTATTAGTAAGTGAGGCCCTTAGGAGCCAGATAATTCTTTTAGGCTATAAGGGAACCATTTGTTGAGATGCAGCCATAATATGCTTAAGTCCAACAGATGTAATTGCCTGTTTCAAATGATTTCCAGACACTGAGATCTATCCTAATACTAATCCAGAAGCTGCAGACACTTTGGCCCAGTACGTAAAATTATAACCAGCATTTCAAACTTGGTGACGTATGTGGATTAGCAAACAAACAGAGAACTTTAATATACTCTTTATTTGGCCAGAATATCACGTTTGAAACTAATGATCACAAGTAATAACCAAGTTAAATGGAAGGTCTGTTATTGTTACTGAAAATGTAATAAATTCTCATAATACTGAGTGGACCTGCTTATGGAGATGGAAAATACAGAGTAGCTGCTGCCTATTGACAGTGACTTAGTTACTTGAATATTTTCACGTTTTTTAGTTTACAACGGTGCTTGGGGAAGTTCAGCAACTATTTTGTCCTGATATATAGGAACAAGCACTATTACCTGGGGATGATGTAACACCTGCAATAAACATTGCTGAGTGAGTGTTCAATAAATTCTACTTTGGCTTTGGTCATTAGAGACACAACTGACTGTTGTTAGTAGTCTTGAAGATGAACAAGAATGAAGATAACTTTAAGATATATTATGAGCCTGGCCGGGCGTGGCTCAGCGGTTGAGCGTTGACCTGGGATCCAGGCGATCAGGGTTCAATTCCCGGTCAGGGCACATGCCCGGGTTGTGGGCTTGATCGATGAATCTCTCATCATTGATGTTTCTATCTCTCTCTCTCTCCCTTTCCTTTCCTCTCTCTGGAATCAATAAAGAGATATTTAAGAAAAAAAA